AATAATAGGTTGCTAATTACATTTATGGCATATTTGACAAAACTTCATTATTGATTTTGTAATGGTAAAAGTTCCAATAAAGTATAAAATTTGTAAATTACGTTGATATGATTCATAAATTGTAAATGTAAAAAATGCTTGCAGTAGACGAAATATTAAAATCTTAAAATGGTAGAAGAACTATGTGATTTTCACTAAAATTTTGTAATAGACATTTTCAATCAAGTAGAGAATAAAAAACATAGCCCTATGCGGTATAGTTAAATGTTTTTGCATTGTCATTTTGTTTAATTTATTTGTTTAGTATGTTAGTTGTAAATTTTGTCAAGGAAATTAAACAATTACAATATTTAAAGAATTAAAAAATAGAAATGATCTATTACAAATAAAACATGATCTATTTAAATGTACGACCCCGTTTACAAATAATGAATTACAATATAAAGAATAAAATGATCTATTACAAATAAAGAATTAAAAAATGATCTATTACAATATGTAAGTATTACATAGTCTTCATCGACCAAGTCGCGCCGGACATGTTCGCCTGTCATGACCGGTCTGCTGGCACTCACTGCAACGAGCGGTCAAACGCCTATCTGATATATCCATCTCATTCGGAATACGAGACATAGATTTAGGACCCCGTTTTACTTCTCGCAGAAGAAGTACATTAGGCATTAAGGTCCGCTGCGAATCATCCCAATAATCTTGATGCGGTATTGGATTGAATTTAGTTTCCCAAACCCTCATGTATACAGGAAGCCTATATACTAGATCAACGTACTCGAATGGATTGTCACCGCATTCAGACATTACAGCGAGCATATGAGAAGATGGATAGTGTCGTATCTCATATTTCCCACAACTGCACGTGGGTTGATTCATCTGCACAATTTGTGTATTGCGACCTCGTTCATGGCGAAAAGATGTTTGCACCTCAAATACGCGGCGTGGCCTATCAGAAAATTGTAATAGAAACCAATGAAGTTCATGTTTTTAGGTGTACTTAACTTCACAACATAATAACAATAATTTAGTTTATATTACAAACTAACCTGTCATACGATATCAACTTGAAAGTATTTGCCCTTGCGATGCCATCCTCAATAGTTTTTTGCATCTCTCTAGGGTATTGGAACTCATTTCGTACATCTATTTCAGCTTGGGCTCCCATCTCGTCAAAATATTTTACGAGCCACCGAAATGTAAATTCAACCATAGGTGAGATAGGTAAGTTCCTTGCACCTTTCAAGACGCTATTGAAGCACTCTGCATCATTGCTGGTCAATACCCCCCACCGATATCCACCGTCATACGAAAGGGCCCACTCCACAGGATTCATCTTGTAAACCCAATTGATGACTTCTTGGTCAATAGCCTGTATTTGTTGTAAGTAACCATTACATTTTCGTCGTTGATGAGCACTCCCTGCTTTCCATAGAAGTTGTTTCAGCTCCTTATTTTTGAACTTAGTGTTAAAGTTACTACAAACATGTCGAAGGCAGTGCCGATGATATCCAACAAATTGGAGCGAGGGATTAAGTCAATGCCGCCTCACAGCAGCTAAAATACTCTTAGTTCGATCAGATATCAAAGTCACTACCTGTCGGTCCATGACAATATGTTCCTTGATATTTGAAATGAAGAACGACCAAGACTCCAAACTCTCCCTGTCGACAACAGCGAATGCAAGCGGCAATACTTTGCCATTAGCAGTGACAATCATTGCTACAAGCAACACACCAGTGTATTTCCCGTATAAGAATGTACCATCTATGGTTATAACAGGCCTACAATGTCTGAATCTATCGATGACAGGTTTGAAAGACCAGAAAACAAAGTGGAAGACGGGCATAATGGTTGTACTTCCGGTATATCTATGCTTCCATCGCACGATGGTGCCAGGATTAGATGTTTGTAATGCATGCATGAATTTAGGCAACATCCTATATGATTCATCCCAATCCCCGAATACCATTCTAATTGCCTTTGCCCTTGCATGCCACGCCTTCTTGTATGATATACTATAGTTCATGGTCTTTTTGACATCTTCGATGACATTCTTAATGGGCATATCAGGTTCATTCTGCATACGACAATACCTATGAGTCAGATTCTTTTGGTGTGAACACTTTAAACAAACAAATAAGTATATAAATGTAAACATTTATTTTGTATACTCACCGCAACTAGTCCCAAAAGATGAGAAGCAATGTAACTGGAGTTAATATTAGTGTGGTCCCTGTTCATTCGTAGGTATAAACAATGGTGAGGACCCCTATACTGCTTTATTTCAAAAAGACCATGTATCCTACTAAGAGATGCACGCAACCACCATCTGCAATCGTGCTTGCAAGCACCCACCCAAATGTCTCTCTTGGAGGTTACGACTTTATACTCTCGATTATTTGTTGCATGGTACAATTTCACAGCATGTACGAGTTGCTTCTTATCAACGAAAACCATCCCTTTGTCCAACTCTGGATTTTCAGCATTCCAGATTCGGTTACGGGGAACGACATCGCGATTACTAATGTCAAAATTACCGCCCATGTGAATGTTTTCATATAAAGGGATTTCAGGTCTAGGTGGAATGGGGGCATTCCGAATATCAACGGGAGTGTCGACATCATCTTCTTCATCATCATCATCATCTGATCCGCCCAATAAATTTTCTTCATCACACATTTCATTCTCATCATTGTCTAGGGCGACATCAGGACCGTACATGTCACTGTCAGCGAACTGCACAGAATTAACCGTTTCAGCCATATTACCAGCAACTTCAACTAGAGTGGTATGATCGTTGTAGGTGGGCACATCTTCGGTGTTATTGTGAAATTCAGTCTCATATCCACCACGTGAACTTGATTCTCCACCATGGCCATGAAATATCTATTGTGTGTAGCCCGCTGCATAGCATTCATTTGATTCATACATAGGAGACTGAAACGCTATCATGTCAATCCCATGTGTTAGCAATGTAGTGAACGGATGAGAATCCATCTGTGTCATATTCGGAAGATTGCGTACAACCTCTTTCTGAATGTACACTTCCAAACAATTTGGTGGTTGGAAACTTCCACCGATACTTAATACGGTGTTCAACGCCTCATCGTCATTTATCGGTAATATTTTGTATTTGCTGGTTGCTTGCCAGTGGCGATAAGGATATCTACATTTGAAGATCAATTGGACTATTTCCCTGTAACTCGCCACCTTGGACATAAACATTTCCTCCAAATTGCTAAGTGCGGTGCCAAGTTGCACCCCATATATCCCTTTCGGCTCAGCATCATATGACACACCTTCATCGAGATCCCGAATTATGTTTCCCCCCAGTAGAAGATAATTGGAACAGTTGCCATATACTTGCTTCAATAAAACAATAAACATTAAAATATCAACAATATACATATATCGAATTCTACTTCTAAAATAAACATTAAAAGAACAGCAATAAATTTTCCAGAAGTCACATTTATATCATAAGTGACATTTTTCTATAAAAATCAACCCTCTCATTTTTTGTCAATTTATATTTTCCAGGGTTGAAGGAACTGTAGAGGTGAAACATTAATTCAATTTATATTTTGTCAGCTGTATATTTGTGTCTCAATTTGATTATTACTGTTTATTTTCTCATTTTTCTCACTTATTTTTATTCATATAAAACAACAGCTGAGATTTCATCTCTACGTGGAGTTTTTATTTACTTCCTATTTGAAGACTCTTATCTTTTCTGCGTGAATGTTCTTTGTTGTCATTGTTCTCTTGTCTTAATTTAAAAAAAAAAACATCAGAATAACTATACTTCTTGTCTTCATTCTTTTGAATTAGTGGTGAAAAATAAATTTTGAATCACATAGCAGCAATAACTTCATATGATCCCTCCCTTAATATGATCAATTTTTAAAAGGCATTCACTGAAAATAAATAAATAAATAAATAATAATAATGACTCTACACAATCGTTAATTTAGGCAATGATTTAATTGTACGCATGTAAACGGAACCATATATTATAACTAGTCTAATAATGACTTCTAATTATATAAATAAAAATAAAAATTATTAAAACATAATGTTCAGATTTTCCTTTTTAATGGTGGTGGACAGTCACAAAGCAGAAGTGACGATAAGTCACTTCGTTCAATACCCATTTCAAATTTTCTTAAGTTTTGTGAGGAAATTTTAATTTCTACTATAATGCTATTATATGTATTACAAATTCAGCTCATTAAATTTTTTAATCATATTCTGGGTGCCTGACCCCAAATATAGTGAAATAAACCAAACGAAATTAAACCACATGTTATTTATTTAAATAAAATAGAGTCAAAATTAAATATTTTGAGAAAACATGATATTTTCATTTATTATTTTGAAGTCAATAAAAATATTTTTTTTGAATAAAATAGAGTCAAAATTAAATATTTGAGAGAACATGATCCTTTATTTGAGAGAACATGATCTTTTCATTTATTATTTTGAAGTCAATACAAATATTTTTTTTTAATAAAATACATTCAAAATTAAATATTTTTTTTTAATAATTTCATTTAGTAGAAATTAGTTTCATAAAATTTAACTTATGAAAAAATGTTAATCTTTCCATACACTTAGTATTCTTAATTGAAATTCATATTATATTTGTCATTTTTTTGAAAGATGAAATTGACTTTAACCCCCTTTGCTTTACTTTATGTGTGATTTACCTCTGATATTTAAAAATAAAAACATAACCCCCTTCCACAGGAACATTATAGTTATTTCCAAATTATATGGGTAGTTTGCACATGCACATTGAAGTGAAATTTGCCCTTTATTAAATATGCACAATGTCTTGAATTGAATAAATACACCCAGAGGGTCAAATAGTATAGTGAAATAAATCAGGTGACAAATACCATTTCTCATATAGTATAATAGGCGACAGATTCAAATACCATTTCTCAAGTATACAACCCCACATTGATATTACCAAATGAAATGCTGAATAAAGGTGTATATATATGTAGTACCGTTATAAAGAGAAGTCTTCTCTAGGTGTTTATGTCTCATATTTTGGGTTTTTCAAAAATACCCCTATATCAGTTATATGGGCAATTATGCATTAAATTCATTTTTTGTTTTGTTTTTTTTTTCAAATCTCTGAACTTTTGATTTTTTCAAATTCATTTCAATTTTCAAATTTTGAATTCAATCATACAATTTACAGTCTTATTTTCTTAAAGAAAAATGATCATATATATGTAACCATGTGGACCTCGAATTGAAATTGTCAGTCCACCTTAATTTTCAATTCATGAATTTCATAATATGAATTTCAATTCTCAATTCTCAATTATATGAATTTCATAATATGATATTAACAATTATGAATTATATGAATTTCAATTTTTTAAATTTTATTCGTAATTAAAAAAAAGTACTTTTAAAACCCTAATTTCAAACCCTAATTTCCTTTTAATTCTTCTTAACAAGCAAAAAAAAAAAAAAAAAAAAAATTTCATGCATAATTTCAAAATTTCAATTTCTGATTTCAAATTTCAAAATATAGACATTTCATAATTCCAATTCAACAAATATAAGTTAGTTTATTCACAATGTCTGTTGTGTGTAGCCCGCTGCGTAACATTCATTTGATTCATACATAGGAGACTGAAACGCTGTTGTGTCAATCCCATGTGTCAGTAGTGTAGTGAACGGACGAGAATCCATCTGTGTCATATTCGGGACATTGTGTACAACCTCTTTATCAATGTACACTTCTAAACAATTTGGTGGTTGGAAACTTTCACCGATACTTAATACGGTGTTCCACCCCTCATCGTCATTGATCGGTAATATTTTGTATTTGTTGGTTGCTTGCCACTGGCGATAAGGATATCTACATTTGAAGATCAATCGGACAGTTTTCCAGTAACTTGCCACCTTGGACATAAACATCTCCTCATAAAATTTTGTCACATATAATAAAAAAGTAAAAATAATATGTAAAATTTTGTTACATAATTTTAGAAAGGATATGAATAATTCTTAAACATTTAAAAATGAAACAAGAAAAAAAATTAGAAAACAAAACTCAAACCAAACAGGCACCTCACTTTTTTACAATCCCTCCCAAATTCCCCTCTCTTTTTTTGCTGGTAGGTAAAAATTCTCATCTCTCTCCATGGTTTTCACTTTTTCTCTCATGATTAGAAGTTCTCCCTCCCTCACGGTTTCCGCCGTTTGCTGTTGCTGTCATTGTGCTACACCTCGTTACTTCATTCTGCTTCGGTAGGTGGTCCCTCTTTGCTCTGTATCCCACCCAAGGAATTTTGATTTGGCTTTGTTTATATTAGTACATTGTTTCTCTACGCAGTTTCGGGTTGGAATTCTAGTATTGACCTAGATTTGTCTCGTTCTAGATTTGATAAGAATTTGTATGGAACTGACTTGGTGCAATCTTATCCTTAAGCATGAGATCACCCATGAAGATGGATTAATGGCTCTCTGTTTAGGAAATAGATTAACTTGTTTCATATCATACACAAATTGAAACGGATATAAGATGCGAATGATTTCTAGGGTTTTAAATGCCCAAAATTGCTATTCTATATTTGAAGAATGTAGTAGAATGCTTTTAATAATGTCAGTGATAAGTTTTGGTGTTCTAGTGGCTTCATATGAGGAGATTGTTATTAACTGGATTGGTTTGGTTTACCAAATGGGAGGCGTTGTTGGGAAAGCTTTGAGGCTTATATTCATGGAGATTTTTGTTAAAAGGAAGGGTCTCAAACTAAACCCTATTTCTGTCATGTACTGCGTTAGTCCCTGCAGGCATGTATTTTCATCTGCCAAAGTTTAATTGTTATCATTATTTCTTTCACCATTTGATGTTTATATGCAGAACCTTTTTGCCATGTGAACGGAATCATAGTTCTTGTGCAGTGCTCTTTGCTTGTTCATTCTGTGGATTTTTCTAAAGAAGCCAAAGATGGATACCCAAGGGACATGGAGCTTTCAACCTGTTATCCTAACACTCAACTCTCTCTGTACTTTTGCACTCAATCTATCAGTTTTTCTTGTGATCTCACATACAAGTGCTTTGACAATTCGTGTTGCTGGAGTTGTCAAGGATTGGGTGGTTGTCTTATACATACTATTAGCCCTTCTGTTTGCCGATACAATGCTGACAATGATAAATGTGTTTGGTTATGGCATTGGTAATTTTTCGATAACAAGTACTTTTTCAAAATTCCAATTTCTGATTTCAAATTTCAAAATATAGACATTTCATAATTTCAATTCAACAATTCTCAATTACATGAATTTCATAATATGACATTAACAATTATCAATTATATGAATTTCAATTTTTTGAATTTTATTCTTAATTAAAAAAAATTACTTTTAAAACCCTAATTTCAAATCCTAATTTCCTTTTAATTCCTCTTAACAAGCAAAAAAAAAAAATTTCCAATTCAACAAATATAGGTTGGTTTATTCACAATTCAAAATTCAAAATATAGACATTTTGATTCACAAGCATAATTTCAAAATTCCAATTTCTGATTTCAAATTTCAAAATATAAACGTTTCATAATTTCAATTCTCAATTCTCAATTATATGAATTTCATAATATGACATTAACAATTATCAATTATATGAATTTATGATTTATGAATTTCATAATTCCAATTTTCAATTCTCATATTTATGATTTATTTAAAAAATTCAAAATATTCAAAATATTCCAAACCTGATTTATGATTCAAAACCCTTAATTTTTTGAACCCTAAAATGTCATCTTGAAAGGATGTGTGAACGATCTGATATCGAGCAACAATTTTCTTTAGAACCCTAATTTCATAACCACACTGATAAAGCATAAAAAATCCAAACCCAAATATTCAATTCACAAGCAACATCCAAAAATTCAAAAGCATAAAAAATTCCACAAATTCAAAAGCACAAATTCAAACCCTGATTTCTGATTTCAAAAAATTCCAAACCCTAATTTCATAACCACACTAATAAAACCCTAACACATTATAACCCTAACACATTTAATAATTCATGTTTAAAACCCTAACATCCACAGTTTCACAAACACATTCACATTTTTCACAAACACAATAAATAAATACATAAAATTCAAATGATACAGACAGAGCTAGATGTCATACCACAGAGAGAGAGAGAGCAGAGACAGAGAGTGAGAGTAGAGAGCAGAGGGAGAGCGAGAGCGACAGTGAGAGCCGAAGCAGAGCGAGATCGAGAGCAAGTGAGTCTGAGAGCAGAGGGAGATGGAGAGTGAGAGCTAGAGAGTTTGACAAATGAGAGAGATCGAGCAAGAGACGAAAAACTTAAGTGTCAAAAACGTGATTGCAAATGAGGCCATACTCGTGTTTTATAGGAGTTTTAAAAGCGTTCTTTCAATTAGCGTTTTCATTAATTAACAGTGAAAACGCTATTACAAATAGCATTTTCTTCACAAAAGAAATGCACAGTAAAATCGCTATTTGAAATAACGTTTTCTTCACAAAACGAATCCACAAATAAAGCGCTATTTAGAATAGCGTTTTATTCAGAAATTTTTTTTTACCTTAAAATCGCTATTTCAAATAGCGTTTTCTTAATTAAAATCGCGATTCACAATAGCACCTTCACTATTCATCAAGTTTTGGGCTCCAAACAGTGAAAGCGCGATTTGTAATAGCGCTTTAGCCTAGTTTGGGAAATCCGTCCAAACTAGGCCTAGTTTGGGAAATAGGATGCAAAAGAGGCTTAATATGGGAAAAGCCCCCTGTATCCCACCCAAGGAATTTTGGTTTGGTTTATTTATATTAATACATTGTTCCTCCACTCAGTTTTGGGTTGAAATTCTAGTATTGACCTAGGTTTGTCTAGTTCTAGATTTGATAAGAATTTGTATGGAACTGACTTGGTGCAATCTTATCCTTAAGCATGAGATCACCCATGAAGATGGATTAATGGCTCTCTGTTTAGGAAATAGATTAACTTGTTGCATATCATAAAAAAATTAAAAAGAATGTAGTAAATTGAAAAGGATATAAGATGGCAATGATTTCTAGGGTTTTAAATTCCCAAAATTGCTATTCTATATTTGAAGAATGTGGTAGAATGCTTTTAATAATGTCAGTGATAAGTTTTGGTGTTCTAGTGGCTTCATATGGAGAGATTGATATTTAACTGGATTGGTGTGGTTTACCAAATGGGAGGTGCTGTTGGGGAAGCTTTGAGGCTTATATTCATGGAGATTTTTGTTAAAAGGAAGGGTCTCAAACTAAACCCTATTTCTGTCATGCACTACGTTAGTCCCTGCAGGCATGTATTTTCATCTGCCAAAGTTTAGTTGTTATCATTATTTCTTTCACCATTTGATGTTTATATGCAGAACCTTTTTGCCATGTAAATGGAATCATAGTTCTTGTGTAGTGCTATTTGCTTGTTCATTCTGTGGATTTTTCTAGAGAAGCCAAAGATGGATGCCCAAGGGACATGGAGCTTTCAACCTGTTATCCTAACACTCAACTCTCTCTGTACTTTTGCACTCAATCTATCAGTTTTTCTTGTGATCTCACATACAAGTGCTTTGACAATTCGTGTTGCTGGAGTTGTCAAGGATTGGGTGGTTGTCTTATACATACTATTAGCCCTTCTGTTTGCCGATACAATGCTGACAATGATAAATGTGTTTGGTTATGGCATTGGTAATTTTTCGATAACAAGTACTTTTGTTTTGGGTTTTCACTATAGTTTATTGTCTCAAAATTTGACATTAGTATTATGATATTTATTTGTATTTCAGTATGTCCTTTGTATATCCTCAATGTTGTAATGTTTATATTCTAGTATTAAAGATTGTTCACATTGGAAATCAATTCTAGGAAAGTAGAACAAAAAACTGCAGTCTGCCATACTTTAAAAACGGCATTGTATAGGTGGTTATCTTTTGTATTATCCATAAAAATTTATTTTTCTCGAGCTTTATAAAAAATTTGCGTTTTCAATGTTATGGAATTCACATTTTCTTGATGTGGGTACTGTTGCTTATCTGACCCTTGAGATATGCCTTTTTTTTTCATATTTCCGCTGGGGCAATGCTTGGCATATTGTGTGTTGCATTTGGTTTTCTCTTTTTCCTCTACTTTTTAATGTATTATTTTTTTCCATTCTTTGATAAAAAAAACTATTGTTTATTTCATCTGCATTTCAGATAGTGACCGTGCTTAGGATCTAGATGAGAACCCTGTTGATCACTCAGAAAAGAAATTTCAATTTTAGTGTCTTGCAATAATGTTTCTGCTGTCTTTAATACTATTTGTGCAAGGCAAAAAGATATGTGATTTAATTTTGTTTTTGATTAGACATGTGATTTCGTGAAATAAAGATTACCTATCTAGGAAGCATGGACATGCCTCGTAGGTCGGCATGTCTAAGTCTGACGTGTGTCCAATTGTGCCCTTTTTTTATTTTTATTTTTTAAAAAGCAGACATGCTAGCATGTGTGAGGCACATCTGTGGCCTTGGTTCAAGTTTGGGAAAAAATAGAGTAAAATGAAAAGAAGTTTTTTATACCAACTAATTACTCCTTCAGGCTTTTTAATTTTTCAAACCATAAAGACTAATAATTTCCAATTTGTTTGTGAATCCTTATGCCTTCTTAAAATAGACTTTAGGGTGTTCTCTATTATATTTTCAATTTTTTTGTCTCCATTTTTTGAAAATTGTAGTTTCAGTATGTCCGTATTATGTTGCACCTGCATCTTGTTTTTACATCTGTGTTTCTTAGATACCTATTGACCTAGAGAAGAATATGGTTTTTTATGCAGCCATTGCAGGTGTAGCTGTATATAACAACCACAAGTTGAAAAAGGAAGCTTCTCGAGGCTCCTCTAAGGAGTCTCAACATACTGAATCTACGCCATTAACTTCATCTTCAACTACTAAAAGTAGATAAATAGAGAACGGTCTCACAATTTAGTCTGAGGTATGCAACTATAATTGTTCAATTTGACTCTTCCCTCAAAGTGAAAGGAGTTTGAAGTAAGATTTGTGGCACACATTGTTTGACCCTGAGAAGCCATTGGGTATGCACAATTTCGATTTGATAAGGCTCATTTTGTCAATGGGAATTTGTTAACAATGGGATTTATTTAGGATGAGGTAGTTGTTTTAGACATGGAAAATAATCCCACAACTTTGTTGGTAATGACCTGTTGCAAGGATTTTCATGTTCAAGGGCGACGACAAGTAGAAGTTAGTGACTTCAATTGAACCCCTAGAACTTTGAAGATCAATATTAAATTTGTAATATTTTAACAGTTTCAATGGAGTAATATATCTAAGTGAACCCCCTGTTTTTTCCCCCCTGAAGTCCCTTCTCTCTGTGTTAAAACTTTGGATTTGATGATTCCAAAGTGCCATCCTTTATGTGTTCTGTTTTTATATTTTTTTCCCAATAATTCTAAAATATTGTGTTTTTTTTAATTATATTTTGTATTTTATTTTAATATTGGAACTAGAATCTGTTACAATTAGTTTCAATCACAACGGTTGAATTTAGTTCCAAGTTATCACTTGTGAGCTTAATATTATAATGTTTTATTAGATTTACCAAAATGAGATGGAATAGAATAAAATGATTTTTATGGAAGAGTTGGCAGCGATGTATTGATTATCCTTTTAGGTTAACAATTAGTATAGAAAGTTTTGCTTTCAATAAATTAAAAACAATCTATTCCAATCCACTTACTGTTTTTCACTAACCTACCAATGGCCTAGGTTTCTTGGGTTGGGCTACAAGTTTTTGCTTAGGTGCTATCATCCATGCTACGCAATTGCCTCTCAATAAGCAGACTATAAGATGAACTGAGCTGCTTTGAGAAGCTCTAGCTTCGGTTTGTTTAGAGCTTGGCCAAACTTGTATTATGTCAAATACATGAACCTCAAGCCTAGACTCCAAGTTTCTTTGTTCGATATGTGAGCTTGATCAACGTGTAACTTGGCTTGTAAGGCCTATTAACATACGGGTCTGTGAGATAATACCTAAAAGGAAATCTCGTGCAAAAGTGAATCAGTATCACATGAGAGGGGCACTATCAGAGTGCAAAGGTGTTCATGCTTCGAGTAATAATAATTTAAGTCGCTTCAAGGAAGCTAGTTGTAGCCCTCCATTAACTTAGCTTATATGGGTGATAGGGAAATCTCAAAGTTGTTTCTAATTATAATAAATGGAAAACGCAAATCCCATATAGCCTTACACTAATTATTTAATTTCGTAAACAATAGTGATGCTGTCACTTGAAGTCGTTGACCAATGCTTATTGACTGTTATTCTTATTCTGGGCACCAACTTTTTCTAAATATTTATGAAATATATACCAAATTATGGGTTTCATCTTTTTGGTCTTTTCATGGAATCTAATTATTTGTTGCTTTTGTTGAAGGTAATAAGGTTGAGAAGCTCTGTGACTTGTGCAACATAACTGTGAATAAGAATGCTGTGTTCTGTGACAGCAGTGCCTTGTCCCCTGGAGGGGTACGAATTGGTAAGAACTGTTGATTTGAGGGCATCATTTTACTGATGATAACAGATAGATCTCACATGAGAATGTGACTGAAAGTGTTTTTTGAATTGACTCCTAGAACAACTGACTTTTACGGATTACTGCAACATTTTCTCCCATAAAAACCAGTGAATCTAGTAAAGGAGGAGGGAGGTGGATTTGAATTGAAAGTGCGGTTTTTTTATCACTGAATACTTCAGCTCAAACCCATTTACCCCATTTCTTGAGATAAATGATTTAACTAGGCAAAATGGATTTTATTCGACTGCTCTAGCCATGTGGTACTCAATATTTCATTGCATGCTTAGATGTCAAAGTGGAATTTAAAGAATAATTGATATGAAAACTTGAAGTTGCTTGCCTTTATTCACCAAATTACATGTCTAGTAATTCTGACAGATCTGGTTTGGTGCGCGTGTTTGTTTAGTGATGCAGTAAATTGATTGCTTTCACGATTTGGGTTGATTGCTTTTCAATTTACTCAGAACTTTGAAACTCACTTGTTTTCTGTTGAAATATGATAATAAATAAATAAATAAGAAAGACAACAAACAATGCAATGATACACCCAGGAAAGCCAAAAAATATTATAGCAGAATGAGATTTCAGTGATCAGACACCTGAATTATACTTTGAGAAAGCTCAACAACTCTGGTGGCAGGCCTCAACCATCCATGTCCTTGCTGAGTGCGTGGTATAATTGCCATCTACATGCACAAAGTATCTGTAAGTTATCTCAACTTGAAGGAGCAAGCAATGGGAATGGCAACAGCAGAAGAAATAAAAACAAATTAAAGCATTATAAAAAAGGATGCAATCATAAGATGGCGCATACAACATATGTCACCAACTTAGTTTTACTTAGTTTTGCATGCTTAATTATCTTCATTTGAGCAACATGATCTTAAATTAAGAAAATTGTAGGGCTTCTTCCTCTCAGAAGATTTTTACTTCTATGAGTACCAGCAAGTGCAACAGGTCTAGTGCTGGGAACAGGTAAACTAACAGGGGAGTACACTATTTTTACTTCTCAGCCTTTTTTTGGCATGCCTTCCATGCCCCTTTTGGATCTTCAATGTGATTGTCACAGAGCAGTGGAGGAACTCTGGAATCTGCTCGAAGTCATTCTCAACTAACCCTCTGGAAGTCATAGCCAGAGTATCTGCAAACAGAGAATCTCCTCACTCATTCATATCAAGGTTTTCTATTTTTTTTGTTACATTTTAAATGAAATCTATATCTGCTACATTTTAAATATGCTGAATGTTTGATTTTAAATTATTTTTTACAGTATTTTGGAGTGATGCTTTTGTCTAATACAAACATATTTGCGCATGTCACTCACATTATATATATACACGTTAAAACATAAGCTTATAATGTGAAATATCAATTTTTGTTATGTAATGCATAAAGTGAGGACATTTCAAGACCTTAGAGACATGACCCTACAGGAGCGTGCTGAACTGCTGACTTAAGTTGCCAGTTTCTTAAGAAACAAGGTTTCAATGGACAATTTAGGGGAGGGGCATCCCTAGATCGCTTTTTTGGTAAGTCTATCTTGCTTTATATTTTCATTTTTCTCACGTTGGTTAGTATATATTGGTTAAAACACAACTGTTTAAGAAAGTTACACTAGCAACATTGTTAAATTGCTAGTACAAACATTGAAACATTGAAAATGATCATAACATACTAAAATGCTTAGTTTTATATTGTTTATGTCGATCTATCTTAGTTTGAATTTTGTGAAATTGAAAACCCATTAAAAACAATCAACCCATATCGGTATTTCTCATTTCTTTCTAAGTAAAGTTGGAGAAACAGTGAGTGAGATAGTGAAGTTGTATCAAAGGGACATCCACTGGTAGATAGTGAAATTTGTGGAGAAAACTGGAGTTAGTAGAACAAAGATCCAAGTTTCATTGAACCATTCTATGTGACAATAAAACTCATCATGTTGTTTGATTGTTTTCAATATTGGCTGGTTCATAGGTGTTGATATAACTTGCAAGAACTTGCCCTCAATTAGATTAGCTGTTGTTTTGTGATTTAGTACAGATGGAAGTCAAATTTCGGTGGAAAATGCATTTTTGCTAAATTGGTTTACTCATATATAAAATTATTTATATATGAGTTTAGATGTAATTGATAATATATTCATGTTTTCCTTTTTTTATTTTCTTTGCAGATTGATTTTTGATGACATTTGGAAGCATACTTGCAAATCAAGATCAAGTGTTAATTTTTTTTGTAGACTGATAATTAGTTCTACTTGTAACTCAAGATCAAGTGTTGATTTTTATTTATTTATTTATTTTTTGTGGATTGATACTTAGTTCATTTTGGGATTTGCTATGATTGTCTTTTTGTTATAGTTAACGAATTGTTATTAAATTTGTTTGATGGATATATTTTGGTTTATAATATCAATTGTTTATTGAATTTTTTGTGAAGTGGTGTATAATAGTTAGTGGATTTCTTAGTAAATTTTTAAGGCTATTGAAATATGAGCAGAGATATTTGTGAAATAATAATTTAAATTGAAATATAAAATATGGAACAATAACTTTTGTGACGAATTTTTTCGTGGCATGTACTTATTGTGACAAAGTGCTTATTCGTCACCAATAAATAACTTTTTGTGACAAAATTTGTCGTTTATATATGAAAATTTTTGTTGATTTTGTTGTTTGGTGACTAAAAATTGTCACGTATAAATCTTATTGTCACGAAATATATTTCGTCACTTATATAAAACTTTTGAAGACGAAAAATCTCATCAACTTTACATCTTACAGTGACAAATATTTCCTCGCTAATGATCAACATTTGTGACAAAATTTTTTGTCAACTAAAGTTATATATACGGTACTGAGTAATTATTTGTTGACGAAAATAAGGATTTTTTGTAAAAAAATATTGTCTAATTGGTGACAAAGGTTTTCATCACTAAAGTAATTTTATTAGTGACGAAATTCTTTTTCCTCACTGTGATCTTTAGTGACGATCATTCAATGACGAAAATATTTCTTCACAAATATCTATAATTAGCTCTTTGGTGACAAATAATTTGCCATTCAAGACCCAACTTCTTGTAGTGGGCCATACTCTCCACTTGTGTTTTTATGTTGGTAGGATTAGTTCAGAACTGAGCTAAAAATATCACATTTATGTCAAATTTTCCCCCCCATCCATTTATTGTATATTAAAAAGTATAAGGGAAAATTAAAATTAAAAAAAAAAATAGGATTTGACCATTGTAACACAATAAACCTTGACTTCTTAATTTTGTCAATGTAAATCTTAATTTTTTGATTTGTTTTTAATCTAAACCATTAGTCTATTTTCATTAAATAAAATGGATGAAAAAAATTATATTTTAATCATTAAACTCAAAATAAGTACTAGCCGCTGCTGGCGACGTTGACTGGCAGAGTTGTAGAGGTGCAAAGAGGAGAGAGGGTGAATTTGGATAGAAGAGGATGAGTTTGGATCTATAATTTAAAATTTGGGGTCAAAATGTAATTTTTTAAAACTTTTTTCCATTTAAATGTAATGGTAGGGGGTAAATTGATCACAATTTAAATAGGTTAGGAAGCAGACAATATCAAAAGTTCTGGTGTAAAATTGATCATACGAGTATAGCTTGGGAGGGGGGGAAATGAAATTTTCTCTAATCCTATCTTGTCATTTTATCGTATTTATCTCTGGAAAAATAAATGACATCCATATTTTGGAGACAAACGTGATAAAATAAAAAAATTATAATTATTGGATCGATCTAATTTTCTCGGATGATGATATACATAGAGAACTTTACAAAATAAATTATTTGAATTATCAAAATAAAATCCATGGTGAGTCCTATGAACCCTAACATAACGGAATTTTCAACCTTAATTAAATATTAGATTGGCAAAACACCTTTGATTCCATAATTTAAATATAGAATAATTCATTAAAATGAGGTGGCAGTGTCATTTTAAAATAAAAAAAAAGCCATTTTGCTGAATATTTTGATGTAAAATGATAACACACGATATTTGTAATGTGCAAAATTTTTGTATACTTGAATTTATTTGTCATTAGTTATTAAGTGGGTGATTAGTATTCATTTACTATTCATCCTATTCTTAGTAATTTTTTAACTTCCTATGAAAAAATATGTAAAAAAATAAAAAGAATAATATGACAACTTATAATGACTATTTAATTTTTTAATTAAAATATTAGTTCCAAACAAATTCTAAGTAAGAGTCATGTTAGCAAAGCATATGAGTAATTCCAAAGTAAAAGTAAAATATAACCCCAGTAGCAGCAGCTTCACCTAATCAATAGTACACAGCATCATCAAAATCAAAGAATAAAGTAGCAACATATTCTCTCTCACTGAAATAACTTCTTCCTTCATAACAGAAAATCAAAAAGCAGAGCCACTAGCAATATACAACTGATTCGTATCACTTAATCAAAATCCTTAACATCGTTGCTTACCCAATCTCACTGCTCCAAAACGACCAATTCCCGAGGTAGTAGTGCATGAAGGCTGAAATTATAGACCATTACAAATTCTACAATCCCTCGGATGAATGCCTAGTCGGTAGACTTTTTTGCTTGCCGGACTTACTGCAGATGCATTTCCGGGAACTACATTTCCATAGAGAGAGAATTGTTGGGATGCTTCTTCACTACTTGATTGGCTACTCTTCTCTTCTTGCTCCTTGTACACAAAATGGACTCCGACCTCCTTTACTTGACAATATTCTTCTCCAACCACTGAAATATTCAGTTCATCGCCACTTTCCAACTGATTTTCAAAATTCCAATTACTTAACATCATCATATCCTCATCAGCTTCTGGAATGCCAACGACCCATGGGGAATGACTCCAAATCAAACTCTTGGTCGTATTACTGATAATAGTATGTGCGCAGGAATTAAAGCTAACTTCTTTTCGATTATTGGAAAGTGCATAAATAGAACATACACTCAAGCATCGGATTCTGAAATTAAGATGCGACGGCACAGTAAATGATACTGAAGATCCTTCATTTTTAAGATTAAACCAGTCTGGAACCTTGCTTCCCAAACAATAAGCATAGAATATGTGTTTTTCATGACATCCCTGTGCGACATAAAGCATAATTAATTTAACGATTATGTATATATATTGAGAGAGAGAGAGAGAGAGAGAGAGAGAGAGAGAGAGAGAGACCTGCAGGGGAAGCTTCCTTGTTTTCTTTGACCCAATCAATGAAAGCAGAACATTTGAGCATCCCATGAATCCTATGTTGGACAAGCTTAAATTGTTAATTATCTCCATGTCAACATTTCCTAGAGGTTCAAGCTTGCACATCCCCTGAATCTCAAGTATTTTTTGATCCATGCTTGTGACCAGACGTGGTTGCAACCAGCGCATGGTTAATTGATTGCCACATGTGTTGTTATATTCTATGGTTAATGGAAGTGATAGAAAGGTTAATCTCTCCAACAATATACATTCTGCGATCTGTAATTCTTTTAATTTGTGATGTACTTCAACTGACCGGAGCTTTTTGCATCCATTTAAATGAAGGATTTGGAGTCCAAAATGACATCTGATGCAATTTGGGACGCTACGAATTGCATTACCACTCAAATTTAAAATCTGCAATGAGGATAGGTTGCTAAGATCCCTAGGAAAATCATCATCTGATAAATTACAGTTCTCAAGACTTAAGTGCACCACGGACCATGGTAAAAAAGACCATGAAATTTCCACACTTCTTCTTGGCTTCAATAGAGAAGGCCAGATTAATGAATGCCATGATTTAACCTCCTTACTGGTAGAGAATAATTGACTTATGTCAATTTCATTTGCATGGAACACTGTTAGAGACTCCATAGTCCCCAACTCTGTTGGCAATTCCTCAAGATTTGAGCAGCCTGATATGTCAAGTGTTTCCAAAAACTTCAGCATACAAATGTTTTTCGGAAGCTTCTTCAGACTTTTGCAATCTTTTAAATTAAACAAAACAAGTCTCTGAAGGTGTCCGACGGATTCATGAACCTCAACCAACGTTGCACAGTTTTCAAATATCAACCTCTCAAGATTGGGGACTTTCGACAAGTCAGGAGTTTTAGTGAGGCAATGGGAATGACTAAGATCAAGGACTTTTAATGACTCAAGAAGCTGTAAAACAAGAAAAGAAACTACTATTAATACTTCTTTTAGTTTTCAAATGGAATTAAATATATATACATATCTGTAACATACCTTGGCTCCTTTCCAAGCTATTTGCAACCTACTATAACTCATGTCAAGAACAATTAGGTTCTCCAAAGGGAAATCATGGGGTATAGATTTGAAAGGAAATCCATGCCAACATAACCATCGTAATCCTTTAGGAAAATTTTTGAAGCTTCCACTTATTTGTATATACTTGAGCTGTAAAAGTTTTAGTTTGTGCATCCTTGCAAATGCATCAACTTCCAAAGGTATTTGATTTGACTTTTTCATATCAAGCTTGAGGCCTTCGATTTTTCTTGTCCCCTGACAATGAACGAGAGGAGGGCGATATTTATCAATAAGAGTAATGCTATAAAATTATAATTTTTGCAAAGATCAATGATACAAAATGATGTGGCATTTTTCCAATAAAAAACCTCAAATGAAGCTCATAATTTCAAAAATCCAATAATTGTCACATTATTTTGTATAATTTTTTTTTTTGGGTTGAATTACACCATTAGTCCTTGTAGTTTAAACAATATGTCACTTTATTTTTTGTAGCTTCAATTTGAATCATTTGATCCCTACACTTTTAAATTTGTTGCAACATACTCCCTTGATATTTACCGTTAGAATTTGAAACAGAAAAAGACTACATGTAAAACTAAAGGAACCAAATTGAAATTCAAAACAAACTATAGTGACCACTGGTGTAATATATCAAAGTGGAATTCAAAACAAACTGTAGGGACCACCAGTGTAATGAATATATTACACTGGTAGTCATTGTAATAAATATATTACATTGGTAGTCATTGCAATTTGTTTTGAATTTCAATTTAGTCCATCTAGTTTTGCAAATAATTTTTTTCAATTCAAAATCTTAACAATGCATGATGGAGGGACCGCATTGCCAAAAAATAAATAAATAAATAAATATTAGAAGTGTAGTGACCAAATTGTTCAAATTAAAAATACAAAAATCAGAGTAAAACTTCACTCAAACTAGACGAACCGTTGGTATAATTTACCTATTTTTCTTTTATTATATTATACAAATATTTTTCTAGATCATTTTTTCGATATAAGTATAATAACTATAGAAATAAATACAAATGAACATGAGAAGCAACAAGGTTAATACTTACAGTATTTTCGCTCAAAACATTCAAGGAATCCTTGCAATTCCAAACTCTACTACGTTCTCCTGGCTCCTTAGGTGATTCTTGTCGAACAATTTCTCTTCCCATTTCTTGAACCAATTGATGCATCACCAACCTTTTGTGTTCATCAATTGTTAACAGATATCTATCAATGAGATTTTGAATCCCAACCATTGTGTAAAAATCACATCCATCTAGAATTGTAACTACTTGATCTTTATCCATCCCAACAAAGAAACAAGCAACATGGAGGAATAAATTTTTGTCATGGTCATCTTGCAAAGAGTCATAGCTTATTTTGAGTTTTTCAATGACTTCAGAATTGGGAATTGCTTTCAATTTTTGAAGTTGACTTTTCCAGATATTTAAGCTTCTTCCAGACAAAGAAGCACCCAAAATTTTGATAGCTAGTGGAAGCCCTCCACAATACTGCACCACCCTTTCCGAGTCCTCTATGAAACCATTAATGGGATAGTTTTTCCCAAAGGCATGCCAACTAAAGAGCTCTAAGGATTCATCATTATCCAATTTTTCAACCTTGTGCACTTGACAAACTTCATGAGCCTTGAGCAATTGCTCACGCCTAGTGGTTATGATGATTTTACTTCCTTGAGAAAGCCAGTCTCTCATTCCAAGTATTGCATCCAATTGACCTCTTGTATCCACATCATCAAGGACTACAAGAACTTTTTTGCAACATAATGCATTTTTAATCTTTACAACTCCTTCATCAACATTGTACAAATTTTCCTTTCTTCCCTTTAACATATCTGAAAGAAGTTGTCGCTGTAATCGAAGCAAACCATCTTGTTGTTTTACAATTTCTCTTACATTTGCAAGAAAACTACTACCTTCGAATCTTGAGAAGTTCGAATTATATAGTTCTTTGGCGATAGTTGTCTTCCCCATTCCACCCATCCCACAAATTGCGACTATACGAACATCACTAGACTCATCTTGTAACCAAAGCCCAATGTTTTTGGCTCGAGAATATATTCCAATCAGGTGGGGGTCAGTACCCAAGGCTGTGCGACTTAGTTTGTCTCCAACCACTTTTACAATTTTCTGGATAAACTCCGACTCAAGTCTAATTATCAGATTAAGATGGAAAATAAAGAACAATAAGAATGCCATCAATTGAATTTAATTGCTAATTCTCATGCAATACTGAACCAAAAGACCATGTTACTGTCTTTGTTGAAACAATTGGAACAGTCTTAGATGAAAAGAAAGCGTTTTCACTATCATGGTTTTGAAACAATACTCTTTTATCTAATATAAACTGTTACGGTTTTCAATTTTTGATTAGTAAGCCAAGTTGTTGAAACTTTTAAGTAATGGGCCAAATTTCAATAAAATGTTTATGATTAGAAATGAATAGCTACTTGTGATCTTTTCATGTAACTTGAAAAGAAGGAGCATCTTAAAAAAATCACGAGTTAATAAATTCAAGTTGTTTTTTTGGGAAACTGACTTGAAGGATACTGATATGTTCGCTGAAGGAGAATTTTAACTTTTGTGCTTGAAGTTCACTTTTAAAAATTAAACTATGTAAATCTGTAATAATTAACAAAACAATTCCTTCCAAAATTTGAACAGATAATTCTTCATTCAAAAGGCCCTAGTATGAAATACTTTAATCTACGAAATTCAAAAAATGGTGATATAAGTAATGCTTAGCTAAGAAAAGGACTTGGGAGGAAATTACCCATCAGTTTGTTTTTGTGAGTCCATCCCTGCCAAATCTGCAGCTTCTCTAAGTGCTGCCTTCCATTCTTCCACTTTGCCAATCCATTCAACTTCTCTATCACTCGCTTCTGCGCGAAATCTCTCTTCATGCCTCGTAAATGCTTCTTTGAAACTTTTCTTTTGCTTCCTCACATGAGATGGATCCACATGATAGAAAACAGGTAGAACTACATGTCCAACGGTCCTCCTGCGTTCGAGGATCATGACAAGTTCATCGAGACACCAACTTGAAGATGCATAGTCCTCCGAGAAGACAACTATTGAAATCTTCGACTCTTGAATTGCTTTGTTCAATTCGAACTTAATATTCTCCCCTCTTTCAATTCCATCGTCATCTCTGAAAGTACGAAATCCTGCGTGTGCTAAAGCTGTGTAGAGGTGATCAGTGAAAGTCTTGCGAGTATCTTCACCTCTAAAGCTCAAGAACACATCATAACTACAATGAGAATTGGAGGAGGAGGTTTCTTGGGATCTGACAATTGCCATTGGATTAAAGCTCAAAGAAAGACCAATTAAGGACAGAAGAGCCAAGATATGAATTATATCTGTTTAGGCACCATGGATATTTATAGATGTCACTATATGTAAATGAAGTACCAAGTAAGAAAACGATGAGAGAAATGCTATCTTAATTTACATGGTTTTTCCTGGAAGCTTGTATGTGTCTTGACAAAAGTTCTTGACTCTATGTTCTACCAAGTCTTCCCCAAATTATTTTTTGTGGGACCTTTTGTTGTCCTTACAATTATTTAAAAATTCTTACCCTTTGGAAAATCATGAACCAATCTACCCACCTTCATTTGTTTAATTTAAACCAAAATGCCCTAAACCAATTCAATCATTGCTCTATTATTTAAAGACAGATATTGCTATATGTCACCCATTTTCT